AAAAAACCAACATAATGAGAATCTCTCTTGTCTACAAATTAAGAGTGCTTATTTCTTTCAAGTTTACCATAATTAGTTTGAATCAGAAAGCTGCAGCAAAAAGCAAAATTTTTGGTCTTCTAGTAAATGTTTTTTGGCAAGTAGAACTAGAAATAGAGGTATATATGAAGAATATATTATAAAAGTAGACATGTTTGCATTCAAAAAACTTTTCTATTTCCCTTTATCTCTTAACATTATTATTCATGCAGCATGAGGCTCTGGGATGAAATGACATGCTCAAAATTTGGAAGAAGTAGTGATAAGTAATTACTTACTTCCCATACCATAGCTAGGGTCACCGTACCTGAAATCTTAATCATACTTTGTATAAATCCAGTTGGACAACGGTCAGTGAAAATGAAAGATGAACAAATGTCTGTTTTTCTATGCAGTGTACTGATGAACCAGTATCCTATTATTTACTTGTGGACAGTCCAACGCCCATTGACATCCTGGTTAGCTTTTCTGCATTAGTACATTGGCATGATACTGGAGGTAAGGCCAGCATGAAAAAGTGCATGGTAATATTGTCTTTTCCCATTCTTGAATATGTCTGTGCTGTTGGGTTTGTCTGTTGTGTGTTTTGGCACAGTTTGAGAGTTTAGCATTAAATAGTTAAATCGATTCTAAGACATACACTAGTATTCAAGCAATACTTCACTGTTATTTCATACTGCTGATGAATATTTTCATGAAAGGATCCCTCCCTTTAGTGTTTATTGTGATTTTATGTAAGCTTTTCATCAATATATTTCTGGTACGGACTTCCTTGTGTTTCCTGGGGTTTCTTTTCTACAAATTCCATTCTCTCAAGCTACCTTATGCCTTAGCTGATCAAAATGCAGTAAAAACAGCAATATAACCAAAGCATATTTTTGAAATTACTTTTAAACTGGTGCACAGTAAGCTCTTAAGTACATTTAAAGCTGTCTTCTTTCAAGATCCAACAGCTTGGATGATTTAAATAAAAATAACTTGTATTTGATGAAAGACACAGAATGGCAGTGAGAAAAGCTAAGGCATGTTATGATAGTTGGCTTAGGTTAATAAAACCTTTAAGCGTTGGATATGGATGTAGTTTTAGTGCATCTGGAGTGGAGTGAACCAAATGAAAGCTTAAAAAACCCAAACTGACCATTCTGTTAAAATAAACTATAAGCTATAAATGTAAATAAATATAACCTTTTTGTGGCTGTTTACTTCTTCTGCGTGTGGATAGAATGAACTTCTTTGGAGTTTTACAGCAGCCCAAAGTGACTTGGAGGATGTCTGATGGTACACAGCCTTTTAACACATTCTTTTGACCATCCTTTTCTATTAAATAGTACAAATAAGCCATATTCTGTACCCTCTAAGCATTTTAAATGACTGGCTTTTTTTTTTTTTTTTTTTTTGTGTCTGAGTTAGCAAAGCCTAAATGAAGACTTTAATTACTGTGAAGTATCTACAGATTCTGCATAAGTGTTTTTGTCTTCATTTTATTTTTATTCACCTGCCCAATATTGTGTGGGCTGTTTTTAGTTTGTTTGCTTGTTTTTTTTAATCTAGGTACTAAACAAGAATGTGCTAGTGTTTCAGAGGGTGTGCTGATTGTTGAACATTTCTCTTGGAAATGTGTGAATCCTGAAGAATTTCTGTTAAAGATACACACATCTGCAACCAAAGCTGCCACGTTAAATCTTCCTGTTGGGTATGTATGACACTTTGTTTCGGTCCTGACATGTTAGTTTTAAAGCTTGAGATTATTGTTTACACAATAACTAAGAGTTTATTTCCTAAAACACAAGTTTTTCAAGTGTGAAACTGGTTGACAGCAAGAATTTGGTAAGCCTGCAAAATTGCTCTGAAATTACAAAAACCTTCATAACGATTTTGAGTTCTTTACTCTTATTTAAGAGCATTTAATAAGAAAAAAACACACTGAATTGCTAAAAAATAAATTCCTGCAAATTCCTACTTAAAAGTGTTTATAACTAGAATGATTTTGAAATGTTCCCCTGAGTACCAAGAAAAATTTAGGGATTAGGATTTTTAGTAAAAGCATGTTGATACCATAGGAGGTTTCAATGCTTTTCTTGAAACAGGATTTATGCAACATGACAGGAGAAATTCTGAGGTTATCCATGAAGCCTTGCATATCCTCCCATTCACATAGTGTTTAATATGATTTATTTCTCTTTGCATGTAACTCTAAATATTCAGTGTAGAGCATTGGCTGATTGTTTAAACAAAGAAATAGATTAAAAACAAGAGCCCTTGATATCTGGTAGTTTCTGAAAATGCTTCTAGTGAAACCAGGCAGATAACATCTTCATATCTTGTCATAAGCATAAAGTTTCTGACTAATTCATTGAGGCCTTCTGCTTTTCCAAAAATAGAGAATCACCAGTTTAATCTCAAAGAGATGAGTCAAAATGCATTTTTAAAAATCAAGTAAGATTTCAAACAAATAGGCATAGAAAGAAAATGCCACTATACTAGCATACTGAAATTAAATATCTTTAATAGTGCTCTCTATTTGTCAGACTAAAAATGGAATAGTTATTATTATGTATATAGGCTAGTTCTGCCTCCACAAGTAGTGTAATTTCCAGAAGTTGTATATATCTGTCCTGTAGAAAAGCCCAAAAACACATACCCTTTTGCACCTGCAAATTTCAAAGTTAACAGAGATAAAAGCAGCTGAAATTTGTAAGCTTCCCACCTTTGATTCTCTTTTCTCCAGGCAGAACCAGGAGGCTTTCAGGCAGATTTAATTTACAGCAGGTGTGGGGGAAAACCACTTACTCATTTTATTTCAAATGAGAGATGACTTGCTAAGCCAGAAAGGCACTTTCTTCCCATTGTATGTTAGTGGCCAGGGGGCATTTAAATTTCACTCGAAAGGTGATGCAATTAAAAAAAATATGTGAGTGTATGTGTGAGCAATTCTCCTTTCTTATTCTCACTGCTGGGTCTCTGGTTAACACTTTGAAGCTCTAGCCAGGTTGAACTTCTCCAGCTAAATGCAATTCTGACAATGATATGAGACCATGACGCTTTGGTATCAGCAATCTCCTCAAATATTTCAGTGGGACTGCAATACATTGTTGACTGGAGAAAAAGGATGAATGCCTCGTTTTGTACAACTGTGGCTAGGAATGATTCCTTTTATGATTGCAATCCATTTTAGGGTACAGTCAGGCAAACAAGAATGAGCTGAGTGTGTTACAATGATATGTAACAATTTCTGTTGTTAGCCTTAGGAGGTTACTGTTGGGTGGTTTGACCCACAGTTGCTCCATATAATGGTCACTCTGTAGTCTTCATCAAGCCTGACACAATCATCCATTATTTTTGCCCTTGGTTTTGTCAATGCAATCATGGAAATTATGACCTAAGTAATGCATGACCAGAACACCTGATGACTTCTCTAAGCTTCCTAGAGCACATGTGTTTTTAAGCATAGCTAACTATAATCCTGACTAAAACATTTTTTGTTTGTATCTATCTGAAATAGTGAAACTACCTATTTTGCTAAAGAAAATCAACCTTAACATATAAAAGTAAAGTAATAGTGACTTCCCTGATTTCACCTACTGCCTACATTTGGAGGTTCTTGAAAAGAAAATAGTTAGAAATGCAGGATTTTGAAGCACCAGGACATCTAGGAAAGGATTTCATTATTACCAAATGTGTGAAAAGCTGAAGAATTGCTGTGGTTAAAAAAAAGAAGCTGAATTTAATTTTTTCTTGAATGTAGGCGACACATATTGCTCTTCACAGTAAGTTCTCCCATAGGGCACCACATTAGTCTGTGTACCATGGTGCCATGTGTCTTTGGAGAGGAGGATGCTGTGATACCTGCTCTTGAAAAGGTATGTGTAACAAGGACTAGTCAAACATTGTGATAACAGTGCTTGGTTTAAAGTGAGGTAATACTGGATTTTCACTTAGAGTTGTTATATTTAATGGTGTAATATTAATTTCAATAAAAGAAATGTGTTTTACAGCACAGCAGACACTGAGATGGATATTGCAAAAGTTATCTTACATAAGTGAACATTGGGTACTATTGTGGTTTACATAGACCAGCAGTATAAAATGTTAAAAAAACTCATGTAATACAAGTCAGAGGTAGCATACAGCTCACATTTTGAGGCACATGATAAAATACATGTGCAGATATTAATTAATATTCAAAAATACCTGCTTATTGAAATAAACTGTCACATCAGGTGAGTTTGTTTTGTCCCATGAGATCACATATTACTCACTGGGTCCCAGAGCAGCTTTTATATCTAAAATGAGCTGTTTAATCAAACAACTTTTCATAGCTAAGGGGCCCAGGGGAGTAATTACTACAGCTTTTGTTCTTTGTTGCCTACAATCCAGACAGGTGTCACTGCCATCCATGTTTTCAAGATTTCTTTGGCAAGCAGTAGGCCCAAATAGTTGTCATGGGCACAGAATGCAAATACTAATTTGTTCTTTTATAACAGAGCAGAGTTGTGCAGTAATATTTTAAAAGGTGAATATAACAACAAATTTATATATCAGTGTAGATTGTGGGTCCTAATAATAGGGCACTAAAGCAGCAGGGAATTTTAAATAGAAGAAGCTGGGCCATTAAAAATGTCTTGTGGCTGTACTATCCTCTTGTCTTCAAGAAAATACAGCAGAATTTTTTCCTGGGGTCTTCTCTGTACTTTCTTTTGAAGACAGCAGTTTCTTTGCAGAGTGTCAGTTGGAGGAAAGTGTCCATATTCTTGCACAGAAATCCTGATGAAGATTAAAGAAACTTTGGGCAGCATGTATTTGGACATTGTTTTCAGCAGAATACAAATACCAATTTGTCCTTTTATAACAGAAGATGCTGAGGATTTCAGCTAATAAAGTCTTATTATCACTGCAGTAGAAAGTGTCTACGTGCATCTCATTTTTTATCAAATGTCCTAGGACTAATGATGCAGGAAAAATAAAATAAAATATATATATTATGGTGCTTGTTATAGTGTTGTAACATTTTTATTTCAGTAGCTAAAATCAGTGAAAATTAATAGCAGTAAGTTTTGTACTTCATCACAGAACAGAAAGCTTGTATTCAGTCACAGACTAGAAAGAAAACCAAAGAAAATCTTAAAGCGATCTTTGTAACAATGGTTGGGTTTATTCTCTCTCCCCAGGAGAGCAATCGGTTTACAGAACAGGCTACAGCTATCCTGAAAGCTGTTGGAAATGTGATAAATAATTTCAGCAGTGAGCATGAGCTTTCTAAAGCCTTGAAGGAATTGGAACTAACTCATTGTCCTCCTGGCCTGCACGATACTGGAATGGCTGAAGAACACTTCAAGGTGAACAAACAGTTTGAACAAACACATATCTAAAGGCTACAGATGCTGGATAACAGCTTAACGTTGTCATTATCCTCTTCAAAACAATGTCTCAGCATTTGAAAAGGATCACCTGAGTGCTCTGAACGTGGCTTTTGTCATTAAGTGTAAGCCCAAATGACATAGCTTGGAACTGTACAATAATTATCTTCTTTTAATAAGAACAAATTTCAATATGCACAGAGTAGCGTATTCTAAATTGAGCCCATTTTTGTCAGTCTAGTTTAGTGTACTCTGGGGCAGAGAGCATGAGCTTTTTTGTATTATGACTTCATTTTGGATTTGAAAGTCACTACCTGAAATGCAGAAAAGCAAGAATGGTTCCTTTCTATGCTTAATGTTGATGGAACAGGAAAATATTATTACAGCTTATATAACTGAAAGCAGTAATGAGGTTTCTTTCATTCATAGTGGTTTTTAGTTGTATTTCTTTTCTTGAAACTGAAGCATTTTTATTCAGCTTTTCTGTTCTGTATGTGTGGTAATTGAAAGGGTCTTTAAATACATGATGAAAATGTCATACTTTTCTGTAGATCTCTATACTATAGCTTTTCAATATTATAAAAAGATTGCAACAAAAAAAGTTAAAGAAATTTTTTTTTTTTCTGTATATGCAAATGTTGATATTACTGCTATAACTTGATTTTTCTATGGTCTGTACTTTATATATTCCAGGCTTTCTTACTTTCATCAAATTACTAGAAAGGTCATGCAGTTTAGACTGTGTGAAGTCTAAATAGAAGAAAGAGTTTAATATTTTTATAATCACTGATATTAAAAACTAGAACACCTAAGCCAGCGCTTTTATACATGGGCTTGACACCAGGCTCAAATTCAGTAAAACAACAGAATTAAGAGAGAATGATTCCAGGTGCACAACTCGTGAAAGAGGTAATTTTCATGCCAAGCGCACCAGAAAAGAAATTGGTTTGAACTCACTGGAGTGGAAAATACAAATTTTAAATGTATATGTGCATATGAAATATGTGTAAAACTTAGAGACCTTAAGAAAAATTCAGTAGTCATAAACACACATTATCTCTTGCTCTCACCCCCTCTAAGAAGACCAACATGTGTAGCTGAAAAAGAATAAAAAGGCAGAAATTGGATAAATGATAGGCACTGAGCTGATGATGAAAAAATTATTCTGAATGTAAGAATAAATGTAGTAGATTATTTCCTCAACAGTCTTAAATCTTTAAAAATAAAGGACATGTTTATTAATATTAAAATACATAAAATGTTTCCAGAAGGCAGGAAAGTCTGAAATTAAGGACAATGAAAAAGGAAAATTATGTCTTTTCCAGTAAGTTATTACTGTGTTCTTCAACTCAGATTATGAAACAAGCTCTGAAAAACAGTCTGAGATTTCCATCTACTAGGAGTAAAAAGAGCCTAGATTTCTGCTCTTTAAAGAACATCAGTATGTCAAGAATAAAAATAGAGTCAAATCTTCCCCTGTGGTGCCACCTCCTAATCTAGTAAGCATGCCCATTCAGTTATCAGTCTCAGGGCTGAAACCTCGAGTTTAGAATGTCAGTTGTCATGATAGCAATTGCACTATGTTCTTATGTCTTCTGGTATGGGGCCATCGACTCACTGCACATAAACTACTAAGCTATTTTTGGGTGATTAACACTTGCACTGTAGAATCAGCCCTATTTTTAATAAGCCAGGCATGAAACGTGTTTTTTCTTGATTGTTAGCTTGAAGCATTGCAGTCTACAGTTTGGACTAATTTTCAGATACTGTATTTGTTAGAGAAAGTTAAAGATTTCAGTTTTACATGATAAAAGAAAAGAGCTAAGCAGTTTTTGAAACAGTAATGCGAAGCAATACAAATCAGGTTTTAAAAATTAATAATTCTTCAAATGCTTTTCCTCTTTTCGATTTTTAGGTTTTCAATAGTGCATTTTGGTATTTGATCAAACATGTGCTGGGCACAAAGGCTTCTTATGAGAGTAAATTTGCCTTCAGGTCCTTCACTTTGGATTTTAAAGACACTGATATTTCTGGGGATGACACTGTGTTTTCAGGTACTGTATTGGTAATCATTTCAAATATATCTACCCATTCTTATTTTTGAGGTAGCCAGCTCCACTAATCTTATTTTTTCTTACCTATGCAGGGACAGTTTATTTCTAAGCCTAAGACTTCCACTGTTGACAGCATGTCTGAGACTCATCTTAGAGTAGAAATGATCCCTTTCTTTGTTCCAGAAAGTCTGTTTACCCTTTCTTAACTTATAAAATTTCCCTTTGTTTTCCTTGACTTGCATTTGTCAGTATTGACAAGCATTAACCGACATCTACAGATGCATTTTTTACCAGATGTACTGCAGGTCATCACTTTTGTTCAAATTACCAGCTGAAAAGACCTCAAATATTGTTGACAAAATGAGAGTGAAGGAAGACTCAAGTTAGTACCTTCATTGAAAGTTCAGCTATTTCTTACTGATGGGTTGGGGGGGGGGTTTATTTGTTTCTGGGGAAGGGGTATTTTGACTTTTGTTTGCCCCCTTGTTTTTCAAGCTAATTATTTGGGAAATTATTGAGTTGGCTGGCTAGTTGGCTGGCGAGTCACACATGGTGTGGAACTAACTACAGCACCATCCATCTCTTCTCCAGCCTGTGTTTAGAGTATGCTACATACCTGAATGTGCTGTGAGAGGAGCCATTGGAAGACCAACATATTTATTACAAGCAGGAATAATTCTTTTCCCACAGGTTCTTCGTAACATTTTGTATGCAGGCTGGAGGCATAAGCAGTTACAATTAAGTTTACCTGGCAACCAAATATATGGCTCTTTTCCAGTTTAAGACTTACTTTTCATTCTGGGTAACTTTTTGATCTATTAATATTTAAGTTATTAATAGAACCTTTATGTATATGGTTTCATATTACCACAGAAAAAGAATTTATCTGAAAAATTTTCAGGAAGATACACAATCACCATTTGAAGGCCATTCAGGGTGACTTAGCTTTCCTTCTGATATTATGAACTTCCAGTATAAAGTGTTTTTCCTTGGTCAGTCAAAATTATCTTAACTTCCTTTTCATTAGTCAGTCTCTTCTGGAAAATCAGTATTAAAAAAAAGAAAATTAACACAAATATTTTTATTGTCCTTTTAAGGATGCAGGTATACTTGTTTCTCACTCTTTATTGGGAACTTTGCTCCAAATCTTCTCTCTTCTGTGAGACATCACATATTTTTCATAGAATTACATCCCAATGCAAGAGTATAAGTTATAAGGGTCAACATATTGACATTTGTCACACCACGTGAAGTCAACAACACCTGTCACTTTTTTCGAGAGGACTGTGCTACTGATTTTTGTATTCCCAAAAAAAACCTTAAACACTTGTCATCAATAGAAGACAAGACGTTTTAAAATAGATTTGAATAATTAGCACAGTTGACAGGTTGTAGCAAAGACCTCAGATATATATTACTAAATATGACATACACTGTGACAGGGTATTTTTTAGGATTTGGGCAGTGAATCAAAACAAGTGGAATAAATGTATGGAGAATGAAAGTTCTTTTTCAGTTTCTTTTCTTCCAGTGTCCAACACACCCTTTTGAATTACTTGCTTTTCAGAATTAAATTACAAGAGATTCCTATTGGATTGGAAAGTTAATTGTTTCCCTTTGGCTTTAGTGACCTTGGACATTTTTTTACCTTTATTGATGTTTTTCCCTGCTTAATAAAGTTTGCATTGGAGTAAATGCATGCTTTTGTTCAGGTTCCATCCAGAAATACAGAAATAAAGCATAAATCAAGTGAAATGTAAAGAAAAATTATGTAGATAGCAGGAAAAAACAGGTGAAAAGCGCAATGTAGGAAGGCCTCGAAGGTTTGGCATTAGCTGATTTGCTTGGCACACATTAGCACTGCTGCATTGTCAGGTTAGTTGCGCAGATCTCATCAAGGCTTGGTCTGTAACCCTTTGGAACCTAACAGACATCAGTGTAAATTACCATAACAGACAAATGAAATATTGTTTTCATCTGTGTCTGAGAGTATATTAGGTCAAATCTGAGCTTTTTTTGAAATGCCATCTCCATTTTATGTAAGGCTTTCTGAACAGCCATCCTGAAAATGATCTAGTGACTTATTTGTCTGCCAAATATCATCCATCCCTATGGAGCAATTAGCACAGGAGCCACAAGAAATTAACTGGTAGAGAATGCCATGTAAACATATGAAAAAGAGTTTCTGAAGCTGAGTGCTTCTCCATGACATGGCTCTTCTATGATCTTCTGGAAAGAGAGTAGATAAAGGGACCCTGCAGAACTCTGGGCTGTGAGATGCTGAGAGATGCTGAATTTACAGAGCTATGTCATGCTTCCTGGGAAAGGATGCATGTCAGGATGATGTTACACAAGAGATGCTCTTGGCAGGTCAATAGTGCTTGCCTGCTCTCTGTTGCACATGTTATTTATTTACCTTGTCCTTGTTTCATTGGGCCCAATAGTGAGCCAGCTCAGTTCTTAACTCACTGGAGGTGTGTGGCACTGATTTTCAAGAGTCTCAGACACGTGACAGTCATTTGGGCATATTTCAAAGGCTACATTTCTTTCTCATGGATAAATTCCAACTTTGAAGTTGTATGTGGAGTGCCCTTTGTATACAGTTCTATTAAAACCTTCTGATCTGAAATTTTATCTGGAAGTCAAGCTGTTAGCTATAAACTTATCTTCACTGTGTAAACCATATTTGAAAAGTCCTGCTCAGTTCTTTTCCAGAACAAGCTTCTCTTTCCTCCAGAAACGCAGATTAAGAGCAGCAATCATACAGTTGTGCTGTGTGACTGAAGAGAGAATTCTGAACATTTGTTTCTACTTGCAGTTTGGATTTGAACTTGAGTTCCAGTAAGGGAAAGTTTGCATTATTTGGTTGAATATTTAAAGTGCCTCTCCAGTACGTGCAAAATGCCCCTTTAAAAAAATATAAAATCATTGTTACATTGCCTACAAGAAAACTGCAGCTGATTTTAAAGTCTTGCTAGGCTGCTTTGAGAACTTCAGTTTTATTATTAGCAGGGCATCTTCTGATTAAGAGCCAAGGCATGTCAGAAATTTTTGACAACTAAGTTTTCAATTGTAATGTCAGATGTAAAACATCCACTGGTTTAATATTCACTGATTTTAAAGCATCCAGTAGTTAATGTTGGTTGATTTAATGCATTTTACAGTAATAAACTTCTTGGTTTATAAGACAAAGTATGAAGAAATGCTAAGTAAAAAAACCTTTGAGGATCAGAATATTTAATTTAGACCACATTATTTTGACTTGAATATTAGAAACAAAAATGACATTGTATTTAAAAATGTTAGAACAAAAAAAGAAATTAAATATTTAGGAATATATACTTTCACACTACATTCAGCCTGATCTGGGGTAAATTTTGGCAGTTTCTATGAGTAGAATTCATTTTTGTGTGACACACCATTTGAATTTTTATATTTGTGTATTCAGAAAGAGTTTACTATTTAACTAACTGTATATCCATTTATTCCTTAGCCTCACAACTGACATCTTTTATTTCCAGAGACATACATATTTATTTCTAGCTGTGGAGTCCACTCGAAATCCTCAGTGGATAAACTTTACGTTTTTTTCATAAGGCAACAGCAGTCCAGTACTTTGTGTGTGTACTTTTATATATTATTTCATTATGTCATGTTAGAAATGCCTTACTTATTAGGTCAGCCTGTGTAACTGTGTATTCATGTAAGAAGTATACAACTTTTACTTTATATTATATTACTTTATATTAGATAATTTATAATATATCTATTGCATTACATTATAATATATTATTTTGCCTAATATGGGGTATGCAGGCTTTGCAGCAGAGCCCTTCTGAGCTAAAACATGTGCTCAAAACTGAAGTCTATTTCCCTACCATGAAAACAATGATTATTGGGGTCAAAAGCCATTTTGCTACTGTGTTATTGAATTATAAAATAGACAAGCTTGTAGATGGAACAAATTCATTTTAAAATGTGTTGTATTGATGAATAAATGGGAGAAGCTAAGAGCCAAAACCTTTCCAGAGATGCACAGTGACAGGACACATCTTAGAACATGTTAAATTTCAGTTGGGTATCAGGAAAACATTTTCCACAATGAGGCTAGTCAAAAATTGTAAGAGAAAAAATGGAGTGGATATTTACTCAAGAATATGAGCAACCAACTATAAATTGATCCTGGTTTGGATGTGAGATTGGACCAGATGACCTTCAGTGGTCCATTCCAGTCTATAATATTCTGTGATTCTCTGCTTCTGTTTTATAAAAGTGGTTGTGTTACTCATATTGTGGAGTTCTAATCTGTTTTCTTTTGAAGTGGGTTTATGTAATCTTTCAGAGTCACTAAGTAGTAAAGAAGTTTTCTAGGGCTTGGAAATGCAACGATGAGAAATTATGGGAATGCAGCCAAACTTAACAATATTCAATAAAAGAGATTAGATTGAAATGTGTGATCTGGCTCATGACAGCAATACCTTTTCTTAAGATAGTTTGTCTGCAATGTTGTACATTTTTCAAGCAGATTTCTCTCTTCTCCTTTTTGTTTGTTGGTACTTCCTTTTGCAGCACTGTTTCCTCCCTGTCATGTTGGCTTGCTCCCCCTGTTCCATATCTGTGCATTTCCAGACTGGCCCCCTGGCAGTGGCTCCTTGTATTGCTGCTCCCCACACCCTCACACCCTCCCCCTAAGCCCTGGTGCTGATGGCTCCCAGGATGCTAATTCTAGGCAAGGATGCCTTCAAAATGCTCATTACCAACCTGTCAGAACCTACTAATTTCTGTTCTGCTTCAAAACTCCCTGGTAACACAAACTCAGTCAACTAAAGGAACTCTCCCTTTATTATGATTTTACCCTTATTCCATGGCTCCTTAGCAAAGGTCGAATTAAATGTTTTGAACAACACTGGTATTGAAATGATTATTTAATGAAATGATCAGCTTGAGAGACAGAAGTACTTTAAACCTTGTGAAGCTCTTTTAAGCTGTGTTTAGACTCAGGCTTTCATGTTGATTCATGTTTTGGAAGGATACTACATTAGGAGGAGACTTGTTTTTAAAAAATGCACTGCAATAAATAGAAGAATTAAATGATTTGATATTTGGAATTGGCATAGTAGTTGCATTCTGACTTTTTTTGGTAATTATACAGTATATTTTCTCTGATTTTATCATGATAAAGGCAAAATTTTAAGAGTGATATTTTTGTCATAAAGTTTTATGCTGTACCAGCTCTGTTTCTGAATTATAGCTCTCATCATTTTATTTTTGTTCTTTTTTTTTTTTTTTTAACTTCATTACAAGCAGCCACAGGACTTCCAGCTCTGTTGATGTTGCTCATTCTCCCCTTCTTTCAGAGAGCAGTGAGGACAAACCCCTTAGCAGCTGGCAGAACCGAACTCCTACATCTGAAGAAGAAGCAGCTGCTCTCAAACTTCAAGCTGTTTGGAGAGGGACCTATGTTAGGAAAGTACTGAAAAGCAGAGAACTAGGTATGTCCTTTAAAAATGCCTTTTCAAAAATGCTTCGTATTTCATATTATCAGATCTTTATTGTAAAGATTTTGTTACTAATTAATATCCAGTTAAAATTAACTGAAATGCAGTAGAACATTATGGTTCTATTAAGTATACCTAACCACTCAGCACATATGGTACTAAAACGTAGAGGGGATATACACACACCCCCTGGATTTGCATAGATATTAAGCCAAATTTACATTAATGTAATGTTAGAGGTTTTTTCTGGAAGTGTAAGGGATGTCATGCAAGAACCCAAGCTTCGTAATGGATAATCACTGGAACACACATAGTATCAAAGGCTAATACTGTGCTCACAAGATACTGTGCTGATACTATCCTTCATTCTTATGTATATAGATAGAAGGATCTTATATAGCAGTTCAAGACTTGTAGTAAATCTCCTATTCAATAATTCTGTTATCTCAGCTGAAATAGTGTCCAAGTGCAGTGTTCACAGTCCAAGGAGAAAGATAATAACTGTGAAATTCTGAGTAGAGTTGTAAGGATCTGGATTAAATAGGGATCTTGTATTTGCAGGCTGTTAGTTTGTAATTTCAGAAAGACAAGATGAAGAAAGACTTCACTATAATCTTTAAGTGCCCATATGAGAAAAGGAATTTAATAGCAAAAGGGTCTTTAGCCTGAAATCCAAACAGTTAATAAGAAGGTCTTTAGTCTGAGATTCAAAGATTCTGACTTGAATCCAGACACATTCAAATTAGAAAACATAGCATTTATTTTTAAAAGGATGGGATATTTATTGGAATAAACCAAGATTTGTATTGTACTACTGAAAACATTAAAATCAAACATATACTCATCAAATTCAAAAAGGATTAGTCACTTATTTATGATGAAATAGCTATTAATATATTAGCAGGACTCTTACACAGAGAGTTAGATCCCAGTGATTCCTTTTGGCCTCACAGTATGGGTATGCCTGAGGATCATGACAAAGAAAACTGCTCCATTGTAAGATACACATTCCCTCTTTAGTAAGTCATTGCCATTCTGCTGGAAGCTCCTTCTTGAATTACGATTATTGCTGGGGTTCTTCCAGCTATATATTTAAATGTACCAGATGGTCAGTTTGAACTACCTTTTGTTCCTTTGTCTTCTCATCAGTAAATCTGGTGCTGCCTCTCTTCCTATCACTTGTAGCCCAGTCTTGCTTAATCTTTCTTACTAAGTAGCTTAGTGCTCTTTTATATTTGTTTTTGAAGTGCTATGTAAATTAGAAGTTTCCATAAACTTTCACTAGTAAATTCCCACAAATCCCAGAGCCCAGAAGCTGTTCTTCTGAAGTTTAGATTTTAGATTTTTATCATCCAAACACTATATGAGTTTCCCAGCTCTTTTCCCTCTTTTCCTCACTTGTCTTTATTGTCTTTCTTAAATTCGTCTGATCTGTTACCTTTTGTTGCCTAATACTATCTTTGCAGTCCTATACTGTGGGGTTTTTTTTTCCAGTCGTACTATAATTCTCTTTTACCTCCAATATCTATAGTTTTTTCTCTCCTGTTTGTCATTACAGTAAAGTGTTATTATTCTCCCTCCTCTTTTCTTTTTTTAGTCTTCCTCCTCCATTTCTCCTCCAAATATTCTAGAATTCTATGGTTTCTGTCACTAATTACTTAAGAAATAAAGGAGGATTTCATCTAACTTTTGACCTGACAACAGGTCTAAACTAGTTGCTCAGTCTTCACTTGTATCTTGTGGACAGAAGTAGACACCTTGGCATGACAACACATCCTGTCATCTGACAGACAGTGAACATGAGTGGGATTAATTACCTGCGGGAGCTGCCCGATTATTTTCTTTTTAGCTACACAGATAGCATAAGCACATCCCTAGCTCTTTCTAGTATCTTGAAATGAAAGCTGCTGGGAGCTAAAGAGCCTAATATCTGAGGACAGAGATCACCACATATCACTACAATGTGTTACAGTGGAAAAACTGTAAATCAGAGAAAATATCGATCACATCATTTTTGCAGTTCTAGAAGTGCCGAAAAGTACAAAGGTGATGGTGAATGGAATATCCTCTGTCAAAGGAGAACTCAGTTTTCAGCTCAGCGAGACCTCTGTAAAACTCCAAATAAAAAGCAGTGTTTCATAAGGCAATTTACTTGTGCGAGTGGCATTTTTAAAAGTATTTGGCAGGTGTAAATTTAGAACAATACAAAAGTTAGGTGTTATATTTTCTATTTTATTATTTCCAGGTACTAAAGAAAACACTTATGTCAAAGAAACCTTGAAAAAATTGTGGACTGCGATTGAGTTAAATTTTGAACAGTTTGCTGTAATGTTGTTAAGGTAATCATGCAATAGATCACACTATTTTATTGCAGGCAGTAACATAGAATTGTCATAAATTGCTAGTTCACAAACTAAACATGGTAAGAGCATTATTAGTTTTAAAATTACAAAACCCTGTTGGAAGGAATGAGATGTTTTTAGTGAAGATATGCTGTGCTTTATTCTGTGTACCCTACATGAGTAAAATCTAATTTTTAGATATATGTTACCTTTTTTCTACATCTGAGCTAGGATATTAAATTTTTCCTCTATTTATTTTTTTAGTACCCTGTAGGCTGCTTTATAAGTATAGATCTGATACTGATTCCTTAGTTAAGCAGGATTTCATTTAAAGAAACTTGTTGATTCATGCTATCTGTTAAGGAATCCTGGCTGACATTAGGAAGGGGGTAGCTATACTGTTTAATTGTGCCACAGTTTATTATATCATCAGAGGACTTGTTTGTTGCACTTGCTTGAAGCAAAGTAGACATATTTCTAGGTAGATTGTTCCCCTGGTGTTTTATTACAGCTTTTGCAAAGACAGCTATTCTAATTTCAGCGGTGTTCATTAAGTCATTTGCAAGCATGACACTCTTTGGGGGTCACAGATTTCCTTTAAGTCCTTCAAATATTTCTCTGCAAGAATTCACACAACTAATCTAGCAGTAGTTCTTCCAGGAGTCAGAAGTGCAAACTGGCAATAATTACTGTCTGTGGGTATAAATCCTCACTCCTTATAACCATAATACTGGTTATAAGCAACACTCATATCAGGTACAGTTTTATTTCACTTTTTAGTGTTTCTAATCCTGTAAAACCTTTGTATGTTGATGGGATCAGGACTTTGCAACCACAGCATTGTTCCAAATATTAGACTTCCATTTTAGATTTGCAGCATCTCTAAATCAGCAAAGATCAGAGGCAGATTGTAGTCTACCTTCAGACTTCTAAAACTTATGGGCCTGGTTCATAGTCATTGTCTTGGGAGATACATTTAAATGTTTAAGTCGTGCTAATGTACTTATGTTTAATTTTTTTTTAATGGCTGACAGACTTGCATTTAATATAACAAGCTACCACCTTGGCCAATAAGTAACATGCAGGAATTTTGGAAGTTCACTATTAGGGTAAAGGTTTTGCCATTCTTTAGCCCCAGATTTACTGAAGGCCAGAAGCAGTACCATTTTATGATGCAAAGACTGGGTTAGAATGCCTTAAAACCTGTCAATTTGTGCTACAGTTGCCACCTGTTTCTCATTCTACATCCTCATTTAGGTTACTCCCTACTATCATTTTCAATGTTAAAAATGTGAGTTTTCTGAGGAGCTTTTTCTGTCTGTGTGCGTGTGTGCTGTGTAACAGTGGTGGAAGGAACCTTTGGAAAGCTTCATGGAGTACGATTTCAAACTGTTCTGGTTTAAATTACTTCCAGCAATATTAGCATCCACTCTGTGACTCACCTTAGTTACATGTCAAGGTCAGCTATTATCATTGCTAAAAGCATGAATGTGGAGATTGCTTCTACAACTCTGATTACTATGTAGGAATAACAGAACAACAGAGTAGCATTGCCCAAATCTTGTGGGTAAAACTTTTGCAGTTGAACACATTCACATTGAACACAGAAGAAAGCTATCACCAAAAATGGATGTTGAGAGGTTTCTTTAGAAGAGGTTTTCTTTATGTAAGCCATATGAACCAAACTTTGAACAATTAAAAGATAGCAAAAAAGATATATTGCTCCCTTACTGCAGAAGGGAGGTAGGTGAAGAATGATGCATGACAGAGTGGCAGGGAGCAGGATAACCTTTCTATCACCTCTACATAGGCATATTTTCACTCATAATCTTCATAAAAATCCTTGGAAGGACACAAAAGATGGAGTGAGACCAGTTATCTTTTTTCTGCCCTTCACTCAACAACCTGTTCACATAACACTGAATTTTGTATGCTGGTCTTCACATTACTTTGTTCAGAGAAACACTGTTCTTTGATACTGCATATGATAAATAAAAATCCATAATGTCAGGTGCCAGTGAGGTTAGCTGTAGTTTTTCAGGACTGCCTAACACCGTGAGCTTATTTGCCTTACATATGACATCTGAATTTACAGTTTTGGGTTCCTTCCCATGTAAAAGGAATGTCTTTAATCCAAGTTTAAGTTAATTTTGTATTGCTTTTATTCCTTTCTTGTTCAAAAAAGTTTCAAAATTAAAATCAAGATCTTTTTTATTCTCCTAATGATGCAACAGCTTTAAGATGACAGCTTAATATAAAGAAAGGGAAGTTATGCTAAATGATATTTATTTAAAAAAAATAAAAAAGGTAAAATTTTGTGTAAGCCATAACATTTTGGGCTATTAGAATCAGTTGTAGTCATGGATAGATTGATGGATAGAAATATGCGTATGGATTTGCCATTAGCTCTAAGGGAGCTTGTCTCTACATGGGCGTTTTTTGAGAGTGAATAGCTACTGGAGAAACATTAGTAACACATTTTATATCGTTTTACATTCATGTACAAAGCAGTGTTCATAATTGGCCTAAATAAAATTCAGAATATGTGTGCCCTCCTGATTAGATTTAATACTTGTCTTGTTTTCTGCTTTCCAGAGAAATGTTTAAAAGAAACTGTAAGTCAGTTGAAATGTTTCCTTGTCATGAAGACGAATGGTGTAAGATGTCTTTTGTTGACTATGCTGTAACATATACTGATCAGCCACCAAATTCGTGGTTTGTGGTTTTTAGGTGAGTTTCATACAGCCCTATATAACTGTTATGGAGAATTAGTATGATACACCATGGTTTTTCACTAACCAGCTTTAAAAGCATGTTTTCTCTGTCTCCTTTCCTTAAATTCTGATGTGTACTTGTCCTGGTTTAGGCTGGAAAAGAGTTCATTTTCTTCTTCATTTTTTCTTCATTTTCTTCTTAGTAGCTGCTACAGTGTGTTTGGACTTAGTATGAGAATAATTCTGATACCACACTGGTGTTTTGGTTGTTGCTGAGCAGTGCAGGGACTCAAGGACTTTTCAGTGTCTCACGCTCTGCCAGTGCAGTGCACAAAAAACTGGGAGGGAGCATGGTCAGGAGAGCTGCCCTGAACTGGTCAAAGGGATGTCCCATACCACAGAACATCATGCTCAGTATATAACCTGGGGGGAATTACCTGGAAGTGGGCTGGCCATCAGTCACTGTGTGGTGAGCAATTGTATTGTGCATCATTTGTTTCTCTTGGGTTCTGTTACTCTCTCTCCCTCTACTTATCATTACAATTATTAATATTATTAGCATATTGATTGCTATATTTTGTTTCAATTATTAAATTGTTCTTAACACATGGCATTCACCTTTTCTTTCTAATTCTCCTCCTCAGAGTTAGGGGAGTGAGTAAGCCGCTCCCTGGTGTTTAATCACTGGCTGGGGTTAAACCATGGCAATAATTTTACTTTGTGCTACACAAATCTTTTTATTTGTGAAAATAATTTTGATATAATTTGTATATTTTTTAGAGAAATATTAATTGTTCCAGAAGACATGCTTATAGTGACAAAGGTGTATACCACTATCCCTGCCTGTAGACTTCATATTGTTGATAATGACACCCTGGAGGAAATGCCACATGTCTTTTTCAAAGAGGCACCTCATGTTTATCCCCAAAATAAGGTAAATGCAAAGAGTTGTTGTGAAAAGTCTTAGTTATTTTTTATGCATTTATTTATTAGCAAGTTTGAACAGAGACTATCACTGATCTTCTGTGCTAAACCTTTCATAGTGAGGGAATAGCCTTAATTTTCTTTGATATTTTTTGCTGTTGCTAAATGCAGAAATATCATCCAGTTTGCCTGTGCTGTGCTACTCAGCGGCAATATGGTTGCTGCCGATGGAGTTTGAATAGCCTTTTCTAAGTCATGTTTACAATAATTAAATTAGGATGCATCTTCAAGTGCTAATGATGATTGCAGCATTGATGCCAAATGCAGCTTTAGACATGCTCCCCCTCAAGTCCTACATGTTACTTCAGAAGCATTCATGTAAATTGCTTCTAAAGAAGATAACTATATTGTAAAGCAATTTTTAGTTTTGCATGCTCCTGCCTTTTGACCTTTGGGCTAAAGAAGGCACTCTGCTCAGTCTTTCCTTACAAGTTATATGTTCAACACTCTTGATTACTCTCTTCTCTGGACTCTTTCCAACTGTTTGGGCTTTTTCTTATTTATCATGCATAACACTGGGCACTGTAAACTTTGAATCAATGTTTAACTTGTGGCCATACAGATGGTGAGTAAGAAATGATAAGTTTATATCTTGTGGACTTCTGCTTATATATCCAACTGTGACCCTTGCACTATTTTGCACTGCTGTTGTTGATTCATGTACTTCTTATCCCTAGGTGCTTTCCTGAAGAACTGAATCCTGTACTTTATTATTCTGAGTAAATATAGGTTTTTATTATTAAATGTGGTTAATACCAGTAAAGAATGATTTTAAGAGTATTAAAGCAGATTTGTGCGGGTATGCTATATATTTCTACTTGTTCTTATTACATTTCTCTCCATTCTCTTCACTGCTCTTGAGCTCCTCAGTAAGAATATAACCTTATACTCTACTATTTAGTTCGTTTCTGTCCTATTTGTAAATAGTTCATTAATGTTTTGGTGGATCTGCACATGCTATTGAAAGCTCTATTGATGTTTTGACAACACATTTTGCAATTGCTAAACACAGAATACAGCGGTATTATTTTAATCTGGCTGTTATCTTTATAACAGTATTTTGTAAAAAAGAGTCAACAATGTAATACATTGAGCAAGAAATTATACAGTATGCCTGAATTCATAAATGTCAGTATTATTATAGAAAATCTCCTTTTAAAAAAAAATAAAATAAAATACACCTACCAGTTACTTGTTCTGCTTCAAAACTATGACTCAGCAATTTACAGCAGAGCTAAAAAGAAATCCTGTCAACAGATTCTGTTACTCTGCTGCAGAGACCCTCCTGGAACACATTAAAGTTCATCTCAGAATGACTGACAATAGGGATAAAATCTGCACACTAGCAACAAAGTCTGCCTTCTTTCTGCAGACATTACAGTCTAGATAGAAACTGGTTATGTGTTTTGTATTATTTGGATTTTCTTTGCGTTTGCATTAAATTTCCTTCTTTTGTGTTTGGGGTTTTTTTTATACTGATGGATATAGTTGATTTTGGTTTTGGTTTGGGTTGTTTGGAGTTTTATCAATTCTACTTTCTTTATTACTCATGAGTCGAACAGATCATAGAAAAGGATGGAGATAAGCATTCAAGCTTCAGCCGACCTACATAGATAAGAGTTTAAGAAATCATCACTTACAACATATTTAGTCTAGAAAGTAGAAGTCTGTTAGAGCAAGGACACTGTTCAGTTATTTGTCTTGGCTAGTCATAGAAGGACATAAAGAAATCATCTTACTTTGCCAAAAAAAGTTAGTTTAGGTGGTATATTATAAAACAATCCTTCTGATTCTAGAGACAATGAATTGTAACAAGATATCTAAGTAGGTAATGGAAACCTCTCAACGATTTTTTAAGAAAGAGACATAAATCTGATGGGGTTGTCTAGATCTATTTCCTTATTTCTCAGTAATGACTGATGATGACTTGGTATTCCTACCAGCTGCAAAATTCAATTATTGTGCTTTCTAATTGCTCATAGTATTCAGAAAGTGCTCACTCAAACAGTTTTTTGGTCTTAAGTCTAAATTTTCTGCGTATTTGTAGTGAATGTTAAGACTGTATAACCTTATCTTTATAAATAGGTATACACTAGAAAGTGTTTTTCTCATGCACCCTATGCTATCAGAAAGCACTTGATTATCTGGCTCAATCCTTCTCAGTTTCCAAGAGTGCTTGTTAAGAACAGGGGGCTCTGTAACTATATGCTTAACTAGATATTTTAATACGTGAGTTCTCATGAATCATAACTTTGAGTGGTTGCTATTACCTTGGGATGATTAAAGGCTGTAAAGTGCCTAACAGTTACAATCACACAAATTGGAATCATGAATCATTTATTTTACTTTCATTCTAAATATTCAATACTCCTGAAGTGATAGCTCTGCATTGTTGGAAAGTCCTGAAATCACAACCCTATTATAAGGATTTTTCAACAAAGCTTTTTGGCTGGTGAATACTGATTTCTTTAACTGAAATTTAGCAGAGGACGGACAGAGATAAAACCTTTCAAAGAATTTTCATCCAGACTATTTCTTGGGTGGAACATAAAATTTTAATGTTAGAAATAATGAGTTAGTAGGGCTAGCTCAGAGAATACGAAGTAGGGACTTAATTCTGAGTCCCTCTGCAATGTTACAACTGGCCATTTCACTCCTTATATCCCTTTTTCCTGCCCCTGCCTTTCAAGTAATCACATTCATATTGCCTTCTTTTTTTTACAAATACAAATTAATCATATTTTGAAACTTTTAAAGTTATATTCTGGGTTTTCATATTCCTCTTCTCAGGATTCATAAAGAGCACATAAATCTGCACCAGGCTTGTTCATTGTAGGTTGTATTATTTATTTATTTTGTACTTCAATTTTCTAATAGAATCACACAATCATAGAATTTAAGGGTTGGAATGGACCTTACAGATCATCTAGTCCCTACCCCCCCTGCCATGGGCAGGGACACCTCCCCACTAGATCAGGTGGCTCAAGACCTCATCCAGCCTGATCTTAAACACTGCCAGGGTTGGAGCAGCCACCGCATCCCTGGGGAACCTGTGCCAGTGTCTCACCATCCTTAGAGTAAAAAGCCTTTTCCTCACATCTAACCTAGACTTTCCCTCCTTCAGTTTGAACCCATTACCCCTTGTCTTATCATTCTAGTTCTTAATAAAGAGTCCCTCTCCGGCTCCCCTGTAGCCCCTTCAGATACTGAAAAGTTGCCATGAGGTCTCCACACAGTCTTCTCTTCTCCAGGCTGAACAGCCCCAGCTTCCTCAGCCTGTCTTCATAGGAGAAATGCTCCAGTCCTCTTACCAACTTTGTGGCCTCCTCTGGTCTTGCTCCAACAGTTCCATGTCCTTCTTATGTTGAGAGCACCAGAACTGCACACAGTATTCCAGATGGGGTCTCACGGGAGCAGAGGAGAAGAATCACCTCTTTTGACCTGCTAGTCACACTCCTTTTGATGTAGCCCAGGATTCCATTGGCTTTCTGGGCTGCTAGTGCACACTGCAGCTCATGGTGAGCTTCTCATCCACTGTCACTCCCAAGTCTTTCTCCTCACTGCTGGTTTCAATTACTTCCCCATCCAGCCTGTAGGTGTGCCTGGAATTGCCATGGCCTAGATAGAGGACTATAAATATTTTTTCTTAAATCAACATCTTCATAAAAATTAGATTAATATTGTGGCATTTCATGCTGTATTTGCAATGCCATTATTAAAAGTAGGGACTATATTAATTCAATCTCAGATTTGAAGGCAGAAGTAATCTGATCTCTAAATTTCCATGTAGCAAACTTGTCCAACCACACTTCACACCAAAAGCATGAAGGGGTATTATAAATCATCAAATAATTTGGTTAGAAAGTGACCTCAGGACTTTGATTGTATCTGCCCCTAAAAATACCCGCCAGCTCTGAAGTTAGTTGAAATTGGATTTGACTTGCTATGTAACTTTTTGCCAAATATAAATTGCGGTAAGAGATGCTTCAGAAATTAGACTAGAATGAAATGGTAAGATTATTGCTCATGAAGGACATCTTATATTAACAAGCGTAACGTGGACAAAAAGTGTGTTGCATGTAGTCATCGAGTGCATTTTGAGTAGTGTATTGCCCAGTAAAAATGACTTGGTTTCCCCCTTCAGAAAGGATACACTTTTATGGCTGAAGCACATACTGGTGACCTACCTGTGGCAGCTGGAAGATGGAAGCTCAGGTTCATCAGTTCTCATAGTCCACTTCCATTGCTCTCTCGCGAGGCTGCAACAAATGTCTTTTCCACTAAACAATTTAAAGAATATTACATACCCAATGACAAGCATGTAATGTTCAGGTAAATATTGAGAGAAGAATGATTTAATTCTGGTTTTTATATGGGTTATCCCTGGCAGAAAGGTATGTTCTTTTCTCTTTCTTAAAAGAGAGTACTGAGGCAAATAGCTGAATTTTATGGGCCGTCAAATTTAACATTTGATTTGAAATCATAACAATATTTTGCATCTCTGTAAACACAATCTTATCCATATGCCAATTACTGAAATTCTGTAGTACTTTTGGGGATCAAATATGCATTAAAATTGATATTTTGCAGGTGGGGAGGAGAAGCTTGAGGTCTCTTTTCAGTTATTCAGATAAAGCTTAAAAAAATACAGTAATACAACAGTTTCTTTCCTGATATATCAGACTAATTTCCTTTTTGCAGTGTTGGCAGAAAAATTTATATACATTTTATTTTAGCATGTTGACTCTTTTAGGAGAACATATTTAATAAAAATGTGATTATTTAGTTTTTATTGATCCTTTTTCATTGATTAAGGTTTATTAAGATCAGTTGATTCTGGCTGAGTTCAGAAGTGAGCCTTACTAAATCACTACACTGAAGATTTTGCACAAAGGACTACACAGTGCACTAAAACAGGCCCTGTGCTTAGAGCTGATTACATGTGTATGTTTTGAAGATTAATTCTAGAACATTTTACCTTGACTCCTGAAAGTTTGAATCAATACTTCAAACCAATGGATCGTTCTGAGATAGAGGGCTATTCAACAGAAGGAATTAGTTTCACTATAACTGAAGAAAGCATGTCATGGAAGCAACAAATGCAGTTAAATTCTGTAAACTATCTTTTTCTCAATGATTTTTTTTATTTTCTCCTCTTTGATGTTACCAATCTTTAAAAGATTTTAGTTTTAAACAGTTGTATTTTTTTGGCTCCAAATATGCTGAAGACAGGGTGATGGAGTTTTTGTGTATTGTCACTTGTTTGCTTCTTTGGTGAGATTAGTCTAACATTTTGAATCTATGGACAAAAGCAAATAATATATAAAGTTATGAGTCTCAACAGAACAATTATTTAAATTTTGTCCTCAGGCTCTTAATTCTACATTCTTTTAATGCCACAGTCTTTTAAGAGGACCAGAGAAGCGGCTGCTATCAAAGGAGATAGCCCTACCCTTTTGAAAGCAAATATTTCTTTTTTTTCTGATTACTTTTGAAATAATACAGTTCCTTAATCTGGCTAACCATGTGATTCAATAAATAGTAGTACAGCAGGAGGGAAAATGTATATTGGGATGTTTGATAAGGCAGTGAAAAAATTAAATTGCAGGCAGCACTTTGTGAATTCACTGCACTAAACTTCACTGCAGAAAGCTTAGCTCACCAGATTGCAGGAAAAGAGTTGGCTACAAATGCAATTTTAAGCATTCGCTTCCAGTTTGGCGCAACATTTAGGTACTTTCCAAAAAAAAAGAATGATCTGGTTATATTGCTATAATTTTTTTCTTCCTCTTTAGGTATTTAGTAAAAGTCACAGCATCACATATTGCTACAGTGCAGGTACAAACCTCTAAATCAGATGTATTCATTAAACTACAAGTCCTAGATAATGAGGAAGAAATTGTGAGTGTCACTGGAAAGGGCCATGCAGTCATCTCTGCTTTTAATTTCTTGAGTAATAAAACAATTTTGAGTTCCCATGGTAAGTATTGTATTCTGTATTTAATAATTTTATTCACTGAAGGATATAAATTATTACAGTAACTTTAAGTAGTCACAAAAAATATTTTTCCTACTTTTTTTTCATAAATCCATAATTGCTTTGTGGTTGAATGAAATCAGTTACATTTTTGAGCAGTGACCAGCAGTCCTTGGTTCTCAGCAATGAGGAAAGTTACTGAAAGGTTTGATTGAAAGTGTCCAGACTTATTTTCCTCTTATGCCTTTTTTTCTTGTTTTATAACTGAGTGAAGAGCACATGCTTTATTGGTTTCTCATCCATCATATGAGCCCCAGAGTACTAGGCAAAAAACTCTTGAATAAACAATGTAGTATTTATATTTAAGAAAAAACTCTATTTTTTACTCTGCCTCTGCTACAACTTCACAATAATATTCATGGAAACCAGATACAATGAAGGAAGAGCTACTTACTCCAGACTTGCAGTTGCAATATAAGGCATAAATGCCTACTATGTTATTGTCAGTACTTTATCACAGCAACTTAAATACTGAGAAAAATTTATACCTCGTGGGAACATTTGAATGTAAACAAAATCTCATTTGTAACATATTTATTCAAAACACCTTATGTATTTTTCTCAGTTGAATCTGAGTTTATTTGCTCAAAGTTTGGTTTATTTCTTTATTTATTTTATTATATTGCCATTCATTACATTGCAGTTTTGTCAACTCAGCTCTTGTTAAACGTGAGAACCAGTGTGTGTGTTCAAAGGTCACCTCTCATACGTATTTTCTTTGAGGTTAGTGATTGTACCTAAGAAAAATCCAGCTGGCATCAGTTAAATCTGACTTTCTGTGGTCCATCAAACTAAAATTCTGAATCTACTGTATGCCCAAGCCTAACAGCATATAAATACTAGGAGAAGAGGCAAGGAAGCAAAGAAAATGAAGCAAACCTTTCAGTGACAAGACAAGAGGCAATGGGCACAAACTGAAATATAGAAAATACAATTTAAGCATTAGAAAAGCTGATTTGGAGTGGGCTGTTGTTTGGTTTGGGTTTGTTTGTTTGTTTGTTTCATTTTTACTCTCAGGATGTCAAACATTGGAACAGGTTGTCCAGAGCCTTTTTGGAGATTTCATCCTTGGAGATAATCAAAACCCAACTGGATATGGCTGTGAGCAACATCCCCTAACTGACCCTGCTTTTAGCAGTAGGATTGAACTAAATGGTCTTTAGAGGTGTCTTCCAGCCACTGCTAGGACGACTCAGCTGCCTGTGGTCCTGTGATATCAGTTAGGAGTTAAGGCTTATGTTTTGGTTTGTTTGGGTTTTTTTCCCTAGTGATACACGAAGAGTCCAGTTTCCTTGGATGTGCTGTCCCACTAAGGAAGTATGACAACTGGACTTAATAGAGAGAGCCTTCAGCTTGAGATTTTTGCAATGCTCTGCCATCATACCCCTCTGATGTAGAGATAAAACTTCTGATGCACCCCAGAGGGCAGAGTTAGGTTATTCAGACATCTTCTTTCATGCTTCATTTCCAGGCTTTTTTCCTGTTTTCCATGCATCTTGCTTCTTAATCAAACTATTTCCATTTTATTCATATACTTTTCGGAATTATTCATTATATCTATGTCTTTCATTTTGAAAATTTATTCTTCATAAGATTTGCAAGTTTTGCTGTTGTCAAAAGTGTTAGGAAATTATGGCCTGTACAATAACAATATGGGAACAGTCAGAAACACTGATGCCAAGTTTAGCTGGAAATTTGTACAATTGACACTCAATGCAACAAGATTCATACTGTCGGTTTCTAGTTGTTCTCTAAAAAGGTGTTTTCACAGAATAGGAATAATACACTGCTATACCATCAGCACCAAACTTGTTAGTTAAGCAAGACACAGTCCTTACATTTGAGACTTATTCACTACCACACATGTTCTCACAGAATTGATCTCTGTGTTGCCAGAAGTACACTTAAGTGACATTATTGTGCAAGCATCACCAATAAAACATGACCCCCCTTGCCCACCCACGGCCTGTTAATTCATCTCAAATCACAGCTGTTCTATAAATGTCTTTTTACAGCTCTAAAACTACATTAAACCAATTGATTCTGAATATATTTACCTCTTCTGAGATGTAGCAGATGACTTGAACCTTGAACATTTGCTTGCCAATAAAGGAGTTACATATTGACACATTGGCAAGCACAACTTGTTTTGTTGATACAAGCACAGCAGTTCTGTAAGCACAGATGGGCAAGTGAATGCTCATAAATCATTTTATTTTGCACAGTAACAATCCTGTTGCAAAGTATCAAAATATCTTTCAGATATTTGGTTGAGTCTGGAAGCAAGGTAGGTAGGAGTTCTTTCTAGTCAGAGTATTGCTTAGGAAAACTGAGTATCTTTGTATGTAAAAATACAAAAGTAATTTGGTGTCACACCACCACCTGGTGACCATTGCTGGAACTATAACTTTGGGCTTTTATGTATGCATGATTTTAATTGGAACATAGTGAGTATAATAGAGCATGAGAAAATTGACTGCTAATTCCTTATCCTACATTCTGGGGGCATCTGTTTACCTTATACCAATAATTCATGGAATTTATGGGATTTCTTTTTTGTCATCTTGCAGCAAGCAAAGCACAGGTTATTCAAAGTAGTACAAAGAAGGAATCGGAAACTGAACGAGTAAAAAAAAGAAGTCATACTTCTTCAAAGGACAGCAAAGCTTCTTTCAAGCTAGGACTTGTACAAGAAGATCCACCTGTATTAGAAGAAGAACCTTTCCTCTTGGAAAACTTTCAAGATAGTGTTGGCAGTTCACAACAAGTAAGAGATTACAAATCATTTGGATTGGTAAAAAACCCAAACCAAACAAGAAACAATGAAGAGGTATTGCTAATTCTTCTGGTGCATGTCATATCCTGAGGCAAGAACAAAGAATTCAAAATAAAGATTGCTGGTAGCTTTTGAATGAGGCTATGGAGAAAGGATAATGTACATACATGAATGACTAAATAAGAAGGTGATATATTCTATTTTTAAATGTTCTTCATTTGACAAATCCAATTCAAGTATAGCATAACTTTCAACTAAGGGCCATAAACTACCAGAAATGAAGTTAAACTTCTGATGCTTCAATGTGAGCTTTCTTTGCAATATGATGTAAGAGAAGGTCATCTTTATTAATTTTCACAGGGAAATACCTATTTCCAGTCAGCTGAAAGCTTTAGTAACAGACACATAGTATCTGCTATTCAAGCCAAGTTTCTCAAAGAGTAATGTAAATAACATGGAGTTTTGTTGATGTCACCCAGTATTGGCTATTTTAGAAAAATAACATACATTTTCTAAAACAGTTCTTGTTTCTCTATGTCCAAGTGTTTCTCTGCTCTGATTTTGCTTAAAAATTAAGTTTAGTTGCAAAAAAATATTCAAACAAAATATCACCTCAGATTAATGCATTATTGAGTGCTAGTATTAGGGTTCAAAGACCTTTAGCAGGTCTTAAAATTGAAGACAAAAGTCTTTGTTTTAGTACATGGCATAAACAGGAAAGTTACATGGAAATCTTAATGGAATGTAGCTCCTTATTGTATAGGCCAGTTTAGTTTCACTTGATAAACACATGAGTGATTGTTTAATTTCACAGGAATTAAAATAAAATCTGTGGAATTAACACTAATTTTTTAAGCTTCTTGTGAATGCTGTTATGTGCAAGCTTGGAAATTAATTATGTGTTTTATTTGCTGAATTCAATAGCTGGCAGTTTACTAACCTGCAGACTTGAATGCTTACTGTAATTGTTATGACTTAAGCATGTTGGATTTTCTTTCACAGTCTCACAAATATATCATACAGGCATTGGTGTTGTACAATAGTTGGCCACTTACTGAGAGTCAGTTGCTGTTTGTTCAGGAACTGAAAGAAATGGAGAAAAATGAAATCAAAGGTAGGTTGACCTACATGTGTATGTAGTCAAATGCATCATGTTACTGATTTTTAAAAAAAATACATTTTTTTTCTTTTATTCACCGCTTGAGTGAAATAATTAGGCAACAAAGGTTTTTGTTCTGTGGTTCTTAGAAATGAAGTTTGATTGCACGAATATACATCTGCAGTTCACAAATTATAAAGAAATCGGAGAGTACACTGCAAAGCTTATCTGAGCTTCTTAGGGCTCAAGTACCTAGGGCTCTAGGTAGAGATCTGGAAAAGTTGTAGAAGTATGACTGTTCCTACAGTCAGAGAGACTGATGAAGTGTAATGTAAAGGGACAGTGCCCTGACAAAGTACATCCGAATATAGAAATTTCTGCTTAAACTACAGAAACATCCCTACTGATAATTTAAGAAAATGCACTGACAAGAGGGGAAAACCAGGCCTTGTTTGAGATACATATTTCTTCTGTACTGCTAGGAGAAGAATTTAGCAGGAGGAAAGACTAGGAAAGGTCTCAGGAAAGGGACAGAGAAATTACACAAACCTTTTTTTTTTTTCCAGCTTTCTCTTAGCATTTCTTGTTAAGGGACAGAAAACAACAAACCCGAGACATATTAAAAGCAGTTAGAATACTAGTCAGTATCCTATAAATTAGATAAATGTCTCATTTTTGCTTCTTCTGTTACCACTGGGGTTGACAGAATTATTTAGATCTTAATTATGTTAAAGTTGATGATGCTGGATCCAACAGCCCAAGAGAGATGAGGCTGCTGCCAGGTCCAACCATTAGTGAGGCTGAAGATGTAGTCCCAACAAGCACATGCACATAGATACACTTACACAGTGTATTAACAGCAGTATCTGGAGTGTTTACTATAGGTAGTTATTTTGGAGGAAAACCCAAACATTTAATTTTTTTTCTGATTGTGGACTAGTGCTAAATCAATTTGAAAACTGAGCTTTACCATTTAAAGCTGCCAGTACCAGTTGTCACACACACAATTCATATAATAGTAACCCTGGTGTGTAACCAACATTACCACGTGATTTTTCAGATATCTCCAGTGAGCCAGGTGGAAAATTCTGGCAACAAATTTTCCTATGTAGAGTATTGCTTTGTCATGTAAGACAACAGTGCCATCTGGAGTTTGTTTTGTATCAAAGCTAATTTATCATGGCAAAAGAATATTTCCACTTTGTATTAGCATTTACTAAAGTCTTTTAGACTTGTCTCCCCTTAAATGAAGACACATGCTAATATACTGTTGATTTTCACCAATATTATAAATATTTATTAGGAAAATATTTGAAGAAAGTAAGTTCTCTGGCATACAGATGCTATGATAATTTTGTATTTTGTATTTGTTGATGTTTGTTACTCTTTTCTTTCTTCAAAATCCTAATACTGCAGTTTGTAAGTATTTGTAAAAAGAACTTTTTTAACAAAAGTTATTTTTTGACTAACAGTCATATTTATTATATAGGAAATTTCATTAAATGTTTCCGTAAAGAGCATGTTGCACAAACAAAACATTAAAAAGACATTAACCAGGAAAACCTAAGTACACAGAAATTGGAAAGTGCCACACAGCTTATTATGTATACAGTCTTCATTTTTTCTCTCTTTTTCCTCTTCTTTTTTTCCCTTCCTTTGGGAACTGTTAATGGAGCGAGTCTTCAATGGAAAAAATGGTTTAAAGAAAGTGAGGTCTGGACCATAACTCTTGTGTAAAAGGGGAACAATTAGCAGGCAGTCTTGCAACTGCTAGTACCATTTTTAGTTGCTTGACTGTGTGAACAAAGTAATTTTAAGTTTCTTTCTGTACATAGGATTTTCAGCTATTGCTTTTTTGGGGGTCCTTGGGTTTATTTTTTTTGTAGTAAGATCATAAGTTTTATTGTGCAACTGTACAATCCTGAGCTGAATCATCATTGTACGCTGAATACTGACTGCAGCATGTTTTTTACATACTGCCTTAAGTTAACTCAAGAGTATAAGCTGTTGATGTGAGAAGTCTCTTGTCCAACTGGGGAGATACGGCGCCCAACCCAGGTAGTAGAGGTAGGTTTGAAAAGGCAGGACAGGCAATATCCTTTGGAATATTCCTTTTTATCCTCCAGATCTGGGGAAGTTTCTCCTGCAGGTTTTCTCTTCCCACAGGAGAACTTGCTGGCTCATGCCCGGGACAGGATTCCATAAGATGTTTAACAGGGTGTTCTATTTTCCCTCTTTATCTCTTTCCCAGCTTGTCTGTCAGTAGTGATTAACCACTTGCCTGGTGTTCAGTGAACAAACAGATCACTGAGGATGCATGATGGTGCTGCAGATCTCTAAGCCATGCTCTAACCCCACAGCTGCTAATGCAACCATATTGTTGGTTTGCTACTATCCTGGTGTATTTTTAGTGTAACTTTAGTGTCTGGGTGAGCCTGACTTTTGAAAGATTTTTGCCATTGCTTTCTGTTGTGAATCCTTCTGAGGGTCCAGTCAGAGACAGAAAAAGCAACATTTGAACTTCTTGATCTTTTCCTAACCAAATCCGAAAGTCTCTCATGGGATGACTAACAGTTTTTATTACCAGCTACTAGGCAATCCCACTAAATGCTCAGAGCCTATTCCAAATAGCAGGAGCATGATACCTTTTCAAAGAAAGCTTCAAAAGACTCATCTGTATTTTTAGCTATGAATAAAATAATTCTCTGTAATTTGAATTTCATAAATCAGGAGTAGATGTCTATCTTGCCTAAAAAATGGAATTGATGTATCTCAATCTGAAGTTAGGAGTTTCAGAATGGAAACATTTGGTGTAATTGTTTGTCATAGACAGGGCATCAGACTGGATGATCACTGTGGTCCTTTTTGGCATTAGACTGGATTTCCAAATAAATAATTGAAAAGCAGTAGAGAAGGTAATTTTAAGAGTTGCTGTCAGCTGTGTGTCATCACTGTCAGTCTGTGTGATGCCCAAACTTTTCTTGGTGCCATACAGATACAAACACTGCCACAGAGTTTGTGATGATAAGGTGTGAGCTGGAATGGTCTTTTGCTTTCTGTGTCATCTCCCTGCCTTTCTTCTTATCACATCCCACTTGCCTGACTTTGCCCTTCAAAAAGCCCTAAGGAACTGTTTGTATCTCCCCCTGAGTCAGAGTGGGCTGCCTGCTATAGTGCCAAACTGCAGCCAGTGCCTTGTCCAGGCTTATCTGGAGAATGTTCCCCAAACCAGGGATGCTTTGCTGAGGAAGGGGGAAAGACTGGGGGAACTTGGACAGTGCAGAGTACTGTTAGCTAGGAGAGCTCAACTGAATCCTGCCCAAAGCCTTCATATCTGGAGTTAAAGTAGGTTGCCTCATTCTAGCCCTGTCATTGCATGTGCTTGCTTATTATTTACTAACTTCTCAGGGTACACAATAAGTTCAGTACATCAAAATGTTAACATTCAGAGTCGTAAAATATTTATGGAAGCAAAACAAAGCTTGTGGTATCCCATGACATAGAAAGTCTTTGCCTGATATCATTTAGCTAACTACACTGAATGTCTTTTGAATGTTGGTGTAAACAATAAATAATTGATCTCTAAAAATTAATAATTTCCTGAATAATGCATGTACACCAGCCTGATTGATGGTGCTAATATGTTGTGATAATGTGAAATTAAATGGAAAGCCATTTATGTAATCATAACATAACTCCAAATAATGTCTTCACTGTTCACTTTATATTTGCATTTCCTCTGGAGCTGTTTTAGTGTAATTTTTGCTTTCATTCTTTAATGTATGCCTTTGTAGCATTTAACCAATTTAAGCTGAGCACTTTGGTGTCACTGTACATCTTTTAAGTAGCTTGAGGAGATAATAATATAATTTATACATAAATATATGTACAATGTATGATGCGATACATATATGTACATAGCATATAGTATATATTTGTATGCAGAGTTATATGTGTATTATAAATATGTTTTTATATATCTAATATTTACAATTCTATGTCTCTATATAACCTCAGCCATGACATTCTGAGCCAAAGCAGCAGCACAGTGCAGCACAGTGATTTGTCCTCAGTGGAAAGAAATTAGAAAAGCATATCATAGCATTAAGTGAAAGTTACCTTATTATTATCATCAAACCATGAAACAGTCACTCATACCCACTCTTTTTCTAAGAGAAATCCCCTGTTTTATTATACTGGCTAAATCTAGATTTTCAGCATTTGCCCCAGTGTTTCAAGCAATATGAAGGTGGAGGGAAAAGGAGATTTCAGGTTTTTAATCTTCCACATAGTGTTTTGGATTCATTCCAGGTTGTTTCAGTTGGCATGTTCCTTATGCTATGAAAGTTACATGCTACTACAGGCTTTATTTATTAATCTATTTTAACAAGAATATGACATGCAAAATGCCTTGTTAACAGCTTCCACCAGCTAAGACAGTGCAAAATAAATGTTGCAAATGTCAGTTATCAGTGTCTTTAATTCAAACATAGAGTATACACTTGTACTGATAAAATAATTAAACAAAAATGTTTGCAGTTCTGAAAATTATAATTTTGAGTTTCATAAATGTGCATCAAGTCTCTAGTATGTTTCTTTGCCTTAACTTCCTTGCATTTTTGGTGAGGTGTGTCTTCCTTTCTGTTCTTCACGCTCTCAGGACTTGAGACAGTGAGAACATTGACGTTACCTACTTTGAGCTTCTTACCTTACCTTGTGCATAACACTGACAGAGATTGTATGAGACCAAGGAAAGCAGGGAAAGAAAGGGATGTATGAGACTAAGGGAAGTAAGGAAAGTAAGAAAGTCAAGTAAGAGTCAGGCTCTGATTCTGAACATTGCAATCTTTATACTGACCCATACACAAGGCAACAATGCAGTGACAATGACAACAGGGACCATGGCAAATTCAGTTAAGCTGGGTAAAGTGCTGTTTAGGACAAATAAGGTTGGCACAATATGCCCACCTTGTAAGTCTGTTATTAAAAGTTGTTTTGTCCTCACGTTCTTAATAGTACTTGAAAGTGTCACCTAATTAACTGACATTTCTTTGTCTTTCTGTATGGCTGTTTTGTGCTGTTATTCCACCCTGGGTTTTATATGGGGAATTATATTTACAAATAACAATGATGTTCTCTAATTCATCATGCATCAGAACTACATCTGAGTAGTACACAGGGGAAGGGATGAGAAGCATGGCTTTCCCCTGACATTCAATTCTTTTGAAGGACAAATTTCTACAGATATTCCTAAATCAACCAGAAAAGCAAAAGATAAATCCTCTGAGAAGACAAAAAAAGAGAAGTCCCATAAAGAAAGAGCTCAATCTGAATCTCAGGTGAGAAAAAAGCCAAAAATTGGATTTTTTGAATGTGCCATCATTGTACTGAATATAAAGATATTCTTGGGTCTGCAGATCAGTACTGCTAGCACTTCTAGTGTATCCCCTGTGTTTCTCTGTGGCCTGCTTTCCTACCTTTTTGGCTTTACACATGAGAAATGTTGAATTATAACAGTTAAATGTAAAAGATATGCATCCTGGATTTAGAGATGTAATGTGCCAATTTATTTATGTATCAAAGAAATACTGTTTTTTTCTTTTGTTGGTCTAGTTTCTGTCTCTGCTGAAGGTCTTTTAAATTCCAGGAATTCGCCATATTCTTGTCCTATTAGTCCCTCATTGTAGTGGCTTTCATGGGTTCCCAGGGAGATGAAATAGGTCTCTCCACTATAGTCAGTTCCTGTCTCGTGTGTCACAATTGTCATTAGCTTGCAGACATACAGTGGCAGAAAAATTGGTATCTGCTTGCTTACTTGGAAATTCTTCTCATCTGTGGTGGGATAATCTGCATGTGCTGTGGCTGACCAAAAAGGCTACTGCCATCCTGTATGCCTTAAAAGGAATAATTGACGTCATGGATTGCAAAGAGATTAATGGAAGGCAATGAAGAAACTGATGGTTCTCGGGAGTTCTTCAGTCTGCCGCTAAAACAGATACAAGCTTCAAGATAGAACTCTCGCAGATAAAGAAGATGCCCACGTTTAGTCTCAAATAAGAGCTGAACTCCTAAGTCTACTTCCAAATCTTGGGCTTAAAACTTCTTCAGGTGGTATAGTTTCCAGAAATATATTCAGCACGGTATCTCAGTCATTGGTCAGACAGCAGAATAGTCTCCTACGTTTCAGTCACTACTTACCCTATGGTTCTGGAGAAGCCATGTGGTAAGGTGGTTTAGGGAGTTTTGGAAGTGGATGGAAAATAACCTTGTAAGACAGAGCAAGGTTTACTTCTATGCAAAAAGCCTAGTTAAATATAATAAGGCTTCTAGTAAAAAAGCTTGTGAAAGGAAGGAGAGGAAAAGAGGGGGGAAAGGAGAAAAGATTGGCAGGGAGGTAAGACAATTGCATGAAAAATCACGATATAACACTTTTTTCAGACAAACTGTTCAGAAGAACTTAGAGTGTGGAGCATGTTGTATGGGAGTGGGAAAAAGCATGTAAACAATATACCTCAAAGAGCTTCCAGACATTGCAAAGTAATCTTCCTTTCCTTTGGCAGCCACTCTTTGTGTCATAATGCATGTCAAAGTCTGTCAATGCATAATGTATATCAGTCAGAAAAATTACCAGGGCACAAAAACATAACTTCATCCTAAAGAGTGGTAGTAGATTTATACCGATGAATGCATTATGTTCATGATACTTTCAGGAAGCAGTTTCAAGCAAACCATGCTGGACTTTACGTCTGGTTAGTGAACAGAGTGAGGCAGAGTTTCTGGAGCTGAAGAAAGACACCCAGCGAGCAGATGAGATCAGAGCCATGAAACAAGCATGGGAGTCTGCAGAGCCAGGAAGAGCTGTCAAGGTAATCTCAGTGTGCTATCTCTGCAGTGATGTTTATTCACAAGTTCCAGAAGCTCCTGTAATGGTAGAGCAGTTGCCATAACAGAGTCACTTCATAAGTCACCACTCTGTGGAAGACAGGAAATTTTACGCAGTTTAAGGAATTAAAAGTGATTGTCTGCGTGAATTCTGGGCAGGAATCCAGATCATCTACTTCAGGCTTCTGTAGATCACTGAGACTTTAGATTCTACTTTATAAAACAGAAAAGTTTCTCCTTAGAAAGCCCACTGCCTCTACACAATTGAAAAGCTGCTACTTGTGACAAGTTTAATGTTTAGCATGAACAGATTCTATTGAGAAACACACTGCTATAAACATGCCAAAATGATTTCTCTTGAAGAACTGGCATCTGGTCATATCACCACTCCAATTTTTCCTTGCAGCCAGGATTTCCAAATTCATTCTGGGTTGCAGGTTGCCCATGAGCCTGTATGCTCTGTATGAATTCACTGTTTTGGAGAAGCAATACCAATTCAGTTGTCAGCTGCAGCTGGCTGCTTTTGACACGATGTATGCTTAAGATAGAAAAATAATACGTTCTTCCTAGCAAAGCAAAACGTTGCACTGCTGATTCAGAATTGGAAGCAGCATTGCCAAAAAAAAAAGACAAATAAAAGAGCAAAATGCAATCTTTAAACTTGCCTCTCATTCCCTATCACCACCACCACCATTGCACATTGAGGAATACTCAGCCAGAACCCCCAGCTCAGAAGCAATTTGTCTTTCTTACATTACTTTTCAGAAATGAACCTCAGACATGGATCTTCCTAGTTAGTTTCAGATTTTCTCAATTCTTTTCAGTGCATTCAAAGCTCAGAACTTATTTCTGACACTACTCTGTTAAATTCTGGTCTAAGGAGAGATGCAGCTCTGCAGTGTTGATTGGCTGGGCTGAGACTGAAAATGCAAGTATAGCCTCCTAAAGAGTGGCTGGAAATTAATCCCCTTTGATGTGTAAAGAGTCTCTTCAGAATGCTGGTTCTATCACCGTTGCCTTTTTTGATCAGAAAATCAACTGAATTGCAACTACAGGTTCCATTTTAGAAGCCCCTTATGTCTGTGAAATTTTTCTAAAACAGCTATCGTTAAGAAAAATTGCAGCAACCACATGTAACATGCTAAAAACAAGGTCTAAATTTGGGGTCTGCTATTCCTCTCGCCTTTCTTCTCCATCACCCTGCCCCAATGTCTGCCCATTCCAAGCATCACAGACCCTCTGACTCTGGGAATTGAGTGCCTGACTCCAGGCTGACCTTTGTCTACTCTGTCCCTTCTGGCAATCTCAGCACTCAGGAGAAAGCCCAGCAAGCCAAAGTCACCTTCTGAAAAGACAGAATTGGTGATGTCTGGTTTTGACATCAAAAGTAATTGAGTCTGAAGGGCTTGCACCCACAGGTCCCACTTCTCAGAAGGAACTCTAAATCACCAGGCTATAAGAGCTCCTCTGGGGAAGTAATATTCCCTAAGGAAGTGCAGTAGCCATACATTCAGCTATGAGAGAACCTTGCTTTCCAGTTTGGGGGGTTTTGGTTTGGTTTGATTTTAATCCAAATATTATTTTAAACTGCCTAGAGATCAGTGATTTTCCAGTATTTCATTGGACAATGATCTTTAATGTAAGTATTCAATGTCTCAGGCATCTTTTCTGATTCCAGCTCCAGGCAGAGTTGCATACTGCACCCTGGTGTTCTGTTTGTTACTGACAGCATCATTTTCTCATTTGGGATATGTGCTAAATACAGCCAGTATGCCTTGACTGGAGTGAAACCATTCAAAGTGTACTGCCCATTTTTCATTTTTCTGAGCTCCATCTCACAAAGATTTATTTAGGGGTGCTTACTCATTTACTCCAGAGACACTTGATACAAATTAAAGATGAGCTGAAAGTACTAATGTTAATTTATTTCTTCTCTACACAACACATTGAAGCTAAAAAAAAATAAACGTTCCAAAATATTACCAGAAAAATTGGATGTTTAATGGTGACAGGTTATAAAACCAGTAAAATATACTCACCAGTAATCTGAAGTAGTATCCTATCTCACACAGGCTCAGTTTGAAGATTTACTCTCTTACTGACCACTTATAGAATCCTACTTTTGAAAATTCCTTGGGATTTAAAGTATGCAGTAGAGGTTTTCTTATTTGGATTAAAACTTTGATCTCTAGGCTTTCCAGGAACGTGTGCGCTTTATTAATAAGCATTCTGTGAGAGATTCAGAGGAGCCCACAGCTGGGACTGCCCATTTAACCCCTGGCTCAGGAAAAAGAGGTAAGGGTATAACTTTCAGTGTCTTCAGTTCATCGCTTTCAGCTCTTTAAAAAAGATTTCTGCATTTAAATGCTGGTAGTAAATGGATAGAACAGACCCAATAAAGGTGTCCAAATGCACAATGGCACACTTACTCTCTCTCTTGTCTATCCCTTCTTTGTTTTAATTGTTTCATTGCTCTATTTCCAGACACAGATACAGCCTCACAGCTCTTGGAGGCTGCCAAGTTACCCTTAAGCAAACTTCAGGTAGTCCTTCTGTGTGGCAATGAGGCATGGGCTCCATTCTGTTCACACACAAACACCTTTATTTTCTCTCCCAGATAGCTTTTATACAGCTTCCTTGTACATCACCCATCCTCCCGAATATTTGTCTGCTCATAATTCCTCTTTCTTATCTCCCCGTTTGCATAATATCTACAGTCCTCAGCAACAGTCCTCAAGTTTCTTCTCCACATCCTCTTTCCAGGTGTTGTTTGCACTTACTGTTCCCACAGTTTCTTGCTGACCAAAACAAGCACATCATGGCAGTCGTCCAGTGACTCAGGGTCTACTCCCACACTTCTGTAATAGAATTCTAACCCTAGTTTAACCTGAAATTTTTGAAAGTTTACTGGAAAGCACCTACTCCTTCAATTCCAAGTTGAGTACCAGATGTCATCAGTGTATAAATGTTTTTACAGTGTTTAGCAGCTGAAATACTCAGTAAGAGACTAATACATCTAACATGCATTTTCTTTATGTTAATGTTCATGGAAACCGTTCACGGACAGTGTTCTGGAAGTGAGGTGTCAAAAAGTGCATACTGTGTGTGCATCAGCTCCCTGGCAGCTTCCATAAGTGCTGTCTAATTTTATATTTAGTGGTTACAACTTCTGTGGATTCTTATATGTATTCCCTGCCAATTACTGAACTCTGATGAAAAGCTGAACTGGGTGCAAGGCTGCAAGCTGTCTGTTCTTTCTTCAGTGAGTAATGCTGAGATCAGGCCATCACAAAAAGGAAAGAATAATACCCAGTCTGATTGTGACAATATCTGGTCATGGTTCATGTGCATGGACCTAGAACCTGTGACCAGTACAGAAACTGAGATTAGTATTTTTCCATTCAGGTAAGTAATCCTCACAGGAACTTTTCAGAACTTAAAGCAGAAGTTATCCTCACCTAATGCCTTAGACAAACACAATATTGGTTAATTGAAAAAATATTAATTCCTCTGAGCTACTGAGTAAGGACTTCAGAATTAATGGTTGTCTACCGAGAGTTTTGTTCTAAACTAAGCATTTGGAATCAAATACAAAGTCTTATGAGGTAAAGAGATGACACCCCAATAACTTTAAGTTGTTGTGGTTCAATTCCATAAAGTGCAGCAATAGGCAATAATGTGATTGAACACTTCTGTAAACACTTCTGTAAACACTTCTGATACTTCAGTATCTTCATGAGATCTGAATCTGATATGATGGCAAGTTTCTCCATCATATCAGATGTGTCATTCTATTGTGGGAATCCTACAATAAAACATACTATGGTTACTATCCATATGGTTTAAAAAAAATCTAACACTTCAGAATAACAATTTTAATATGTCATGGGATCTTTTGTACTTTAGACTGGAATTTCCTAAACTAAATCTCTGCCTAAAAGGGAACACAATTTTTTACAATTACACCCAGGACTGGACAATTAGATTTTATTGATGATTCTTTTTCATAAAAGGATTCCTTCCTGATTAGAAACTGGTTTTATATTCTTTAGACACTGCAAATTGAATGTTCTTGCTTAGATTTACAAACTTTCTCAAGTACTGTGGATTTAGTTAAAATCCATTTTACTTTCACTCTAGCATGTGTGGGTTTTTTGCAGCATCTTTGATTCTGTCATGAGTGTTGGAAATAGAAGAGCAGAAATATTATATCCTCTCCAATCCATATTCCCATTTAATAATGTATTTTGCTGAGCCAAAAGAAGAAAAATTTTTATATGAATTTAGATGGAGGCTCCTAGCATAACCGAATAACCAGTTTAATCTGTTCTGTTTTGGATTTTCTTACCACAGGAAAGAAAGCATCACAAGCAGCTATTGACTCAAGATTACAAATGCAGCAAAAAAAATGGGAGCCTATAGACCTTAGCCCTTACATGAGGTAAACTGCCTTAATATACGTGCAAGCAGCTGAATCACTGCACTGCATGTAATGTCTATGTGACATAAACCTTTGAAGAAAGTGCATGTTCAGGCAAATACACCTATTTCAGTGGTCATGTTGAGAGGAGCACGTACGAAATTTGTCAGCATGTTATGATAGTTGAAAATACTATATTTAACAAATGTAGTTCAGTTAATAACAACAGTTAATAGCTGAAATAATTATACTAATTATATTTCTTATTCCAAAGAACTATATTATTAAACATGTTGATATGAACTTATCAAGCTAATTTACATGCACCTGCATGTTTGCCCTACTGCAGCTGGAACCCACTTCATGCTTAAGTCCATTTGTATTCAATGTGGTATTTTTTCAGTTCATTGATTTTCAAAAGACATTAAAACATGATGAAAAAAATGCCCAAATTAAATTTTAAATGGAAAGGGAAACTGGTGTTATATTGGAGTGAATAACATTAAAACAGTAAAAAATATGGCAAATATCTTCCACTAGCTCGAATCTGGTTAGCATTTCATTTGTCTTCAGCCCCTTGACTTTTACAATAGTCATTTAAGTCAGGATATAAAAATATATTATCCACTTATTTGCCATTATGCCAAAAGAAAAAAAAATACATTTGTCTCAAGGAGAAATATAGTATCAAAAACTTCTGGAAATATGATATTTCTTGCAAATTGAAAGTAAGTGTCACATGTAGGAGTTTTTCATATGCTCAAATATGAGCATGATTTCACAGAAATTTTTTAAATAGTCAATCAAGCATAAGAAGACTTGGCCTCAGGAGTGTACTTTCTAATTGGCACTATATATAAGCAGAGGAAAAGTGACTCCTTAACCATATCTAACCCTAGGATGGTGACATTGCCAAATATGCACATATAGGTATTAAACAAAATATGCAACACCCAAAACTGTATTTGAAATGAGACAAATATCTTTGTATTTCCTTCAGAAAAACAATGTCTGAGTCTGTGCTGAGAAATGAGTCTCTCATTCAACAGCAACAGATACGTAAAGAGGAAAAAATCAACAGTTTTAGGGAACATCGAAAGCTGGATTTGGAACAGAGAGAAAAAGAGCAAAATGACAGAGCTTTATTGAAGCAAAATATTATTGAAATGTATGAGAATCTGCAGGTAGGTTTTCAAGATTACTTTCCAGTCACTATTACCATGATGTCCATTATCAAACTTTGGTAGTCAATACCAATAACTAAAAGCAATTAACAAACTTGAAATTTCACTTGGGCAAAGGCTAAAACTAGAAGTTCTAAAGAAAAAAAATTAGTACTTCACAGCATCCTTAATATGATATTCTGAGTACTTTCTTGACCCAGCTTGCTGCAACAACACTATTTTAAGAGTATCACCATGAAAGGATAGTTATAAGTCAGAATAAATGAAGCATTTGACATATATGACCACGTGCATATTAGGTAAAGCATTTCCAGTTTGGCTATTTTTTTTGTAGTCTTGTAGAGGGCTCTTTGGAATGTAATTTTTTTTTAATTTACACAGGAGGGCAAATTGCTCCTAATGTGTCTTACAGCAAAGTTAGAGAACAGTTTTCTTGGAATATGCATGATACCAGCAAACAAAGAATTTGAATTATTAATCCATAAAAAACCATGTCTATAAATAATAAATTTGGCAGCATTAGGGTAGGATCCATTGTGAGGATTAATTCAGCCAATGCATTGCACATGAAATTGGTACAAGTATATTACAAAATTGGCTTAACTGTTGAGCATCAACAGGAACGAAGTTATTTGTTACACAGTGGTGATACAATACCCACTAGCAATCAACTGATGGTTATTCAGAGCTCTTAGAACTGGATAAGAGACAGTAAAATAATTTTACTTCAAATCAACCTATTTACAGAAATCATTTGAAAACATCTCCTTAACAAGTTCCCAGACAGCCTGATTTATATCACTCTACTACAGGTCTGCAAGGAGCCATAGTTCTCTAGCAGTGATGTTTGATCCTAATAAGAATGAATGTCCAGGCTTTCAAATGTTTTGGATGAATAACATATCATATATTAGAAGGGCAAATTTTTCTCAAGAGTGTTTCCTCAGCTCTTTCTAGAAAGTATTTCCATTAAAAATGTGTCACAGTATGAATTTAAAATGAGAGTTGTTTGTGAATATGCACACTGTGCTGATAAGCACTTTTGCAGGTTTTTTATCTGTAGACCACGGAGAACTAGATAAAGGTATCCAGGTATTCCCATTTTCCAGGATGGAAATGGAAAAGAAAAAGGTATTCAGAGGTGTCCATGTCCTATATAAATATAAGAAGTCAAAATATAAAAATATATTTGTCTTGTTGAAGGTCACTGTGATTTAGGCTCCTTTAGTCTCCAAAAAGGCTTGAACTCCTAAGTCATTTTGCCATTTCTGACAACTAGTTTTTAATGGACATGTTGAAGACAGCAAAGCAAACCAGTAACTGAGGAGACTCTAGATCCAGATGGGTAACTAGTCTCTTGCCCCATTCTCCTTTTCACACAATTAGCTTATTATGCTAGCAGTTTAAAAAGGATTTTCATTAACTTTCTCTTCTTCATAATGAAAAGATTGACATATGGCTGTTTCCTATGAGAAATCAATACAAATCCAAGGAGAAAAAAAAAAAGAGAGATGCTCTTGCTCTCCCTATACTTACAAAGTGAAACAGAACAAGAAGGATGCAGCTGCTTGTGATGAAGTCAAGATTCATGTGTTGGGGGGGGTGGTATTGCTGTTTGTTTTTGGCTAGGCATCCTTAGATGAAAGCCGACGCAGAGTCCACAGCATTCGGGAAGAATACAGAAGTAAGCTGCTAGAGGCTGAGCGCAGGAAACAAGAAGAACTGGCAGCTCAGGAAGCATCCCTACAAGCAGAGGAAAAGAAGAAAAAAGCAGAGGAAAAAAAAAAAAACCATAGCAAAGGTTTAGGGAAAAAAAAGTAGTAGTTGCTCTCACTACTGAATTGTATTTAACAGTTTGGAAAAGAAAGTTTATATGCAAAGTTGAGAAAAAATGTTTGTTATTTTCCAGTATTTTCAGCAACTATATCACCTTTAATCTCTTTGCCTGTTGCTGGTGAAAAAATTGATCTAGTATTCTTTTTAACAAAGTGTTTGGTATTTTGCTTCTCATACAGGTACTCACTACTATTACAGTTTATTACTGGAATAAGTTTTGCAATAAAATTCGTATTCCATTCAGACTCTTCTCCCAAAAGTACAGTGTTTCATCTTTTTCCAATCAAAACAGAACCAGTCAAGAATAAATCAGAGTTGAAACAGTGAATGCAACCTGTCAGTTTTGAAAGTCATTCGACCTGGCAGAAACATGAGCTCCTTAAGTGGATGACAATTTGTGGAGTTTATCATAATTAAATAGTGGCATACCACACTTTTCATATGCCAGCATTGGAAGGCTTCCCAAAGCCTGGTTCAGTAGGCACTCACAAGCTTTCCGTGTACTGTAGGTTTTTTTCCCTTCCATCATTCTCTTACATGTTTTTGAATGTCACAGTAACTCTCTGTAGTGACAAACTCTTGTCACAACCTTCCAAGTCTTGTTAAATACTCCTTAAAACCCTATTACTCTCTTTTTTTATCTTTCCTAAGCTGTATTTTGCCCATGGTGTCTTTGCTGAAAGTGACTAATTGCAATAGACTCTCAGCTGGAATTTAAAAATATTTCTTATGATTAGAACCACTGTGTGAATGAAGTGGCAATCACAGGCTTTTTACATGAAGACTGAAATATTTCTTCTAAGCTCTTGCTTCCATTGGCATAGAATTCCTGTTTGTGGTTTTGTCATCAAACACAAAAAAATACATGCATTCATACTCACAAGCTATCACTCTGTACTCTGAGACAATGATAAAAACTTAACAATGGTGAAAACTCTCTCTAGACCAACAGAGCTGGTTTAAATGGCTTAAAGAATTTTCTGTGTATGCAGTCACAAGCAGAAGCTTGGGAAGTTAGACTAAGTACATATTGTATACATACAATACGTCCAGGATATCCAAAAGCATTTCATTATCTAGGCAAGGTGAGAAACCATGAAACTCACCTATTTAAAGCAAGAAATATTTAATGTTTAATAACAAGAAATGTTATCCTTTGCATTCTGGCTGCTGGTACTGGCTAGCCATGGCATTTGAAACTAGCCTTTCTTCTGCATCTTAACGACATACCAGATGTTCAGCTTCTGCTGGTTTTGCTCACCTCTGTTTTATCAGTACCTCACTAGCTGGCTTGAACTTGACTCATTCCTCTATCAGTTCTGTGATGTCTGTGCTTTGTACATCATCACACCTACACACCTGCTGTGATGCCAATGCCTCCATTCAGCCTCCTTCCTCATATACATCATAGACTAAATTAACTAGCTTGAGTTCTTGTGTTTGAAAAGGAAGAGTTGAAACCAGAGTCCTAAAAGTGCACTGGTGATTTTTATTTCAAAGAGCAAGAGGTAAGTTTTGTTTTGACCCATACAGGCTGCAAATAAAAAGCCTGTCTGTCTTTTGCTATAATTGCTCTTTGTCCTCCCTATTTTGGAGTATGGCATATACTGCTTCATAATATTCCATCTTGTTTCCATGGCAATAGCACGTGTTGGTTGTCTTCTTATGTGAATCTCTAATGAGCTTCTGTAGAGGAAGCTCAAGCTGAAGTTCTGTTCTTCATGTCACTGCAAACGCTATAATGACATTCTGTTGTAAAAATCAATCCAAATCCAAAAGCCAACATTATCGACATCTAAATGTCAAAAATTCTGCTAATAACCTGCATGATCACAACCCGTCCCCACATGTAATCAGCTATCAACTGACTTAAATTCAGACACAGTGTACTCAGATCTACTAATGTAGATCAAATCTTGTTCTGATGTTAAACGCAATTCCAAGTTTCATAATTTTCTCATTTTGAAGAGTCATGTGGCATCGTTGAAATCTGCTGTGTGGCTTGTGAATGTCTCTATTGGCTCATTTATCATTTCAACAACAGAAATGATGAGAGAGTCAATTACTATCACACTGTTTAATTGCATGTACTTTGGAGGATGTAATGTTTTAAGAGAAGTACAGTAACAGTTTTACTAAACCCCTGTGCATATTCCAGAAGAACAAAATATTCACTTACCTCATAATGGAGCCTGGGAGAGAAAAGACCGTGTTTGGATTGTGCCAATGAATTTAGGTATATTGTACTCAGAAACAGATGACTGATGGAATTTCATATGCATCAGTTTTACACCAACACAACAGCTTTTTACATGGTGCACTGTATTACAGGCTAAGTTAGTGGGGAAAGATGTACAAAAACTAAAACAAAATGTAACTGTATTTCAAAACAGCCATTTGCAGTAATTTCAGGAACCATCATGCTTAACATTTTGCTGTAAGAAAAACAAGAAAAACTGCATGCTGTGGTTTTATTGATAGGATTGTTACCTCCAGTTTGTACACCAAGCTGCCCAATAGTCAAATTATGTGTTCACATGGATAAAAGATATTTACTCCTTTGCCTTCTAGGAGTAAGACAACTTTTAAGCACCATAATCTTATAGTATGTAACCAGCCTTTATATCAAAGGAATTTACTCTAATAAAAGCTCTGGAATCTGGATAGTCATGAGTCCTGCTTGTACTCATCTTGGCCATACAGGGCCAGATTCACTATGAGCATAAGGACAAGCTTTAAATTATGTGCTTTCTAACTCAGTGAAGAACTTCAGCAAATGACTCAAACATGAGGTCAGGCCCATTACAGAATAGAATATAGAGGGAAAGCTTTTCTGCAAGAAGGCATAAATGCTTAACCTTTTAAGGTGACAGTCGTTTTGGAGTTGCAATAGAAGCATAGCTGCATCCAAGTGTACTACACCAGGTATCTGGTGGCATCACATCACAGAAGAGAGGGTTTGGGGGAGTGGGAGTGGGAGCAGGGGTTGAACAGGGATTCTAACATTTATGATAGAAAATCATCCCTGAGAATATATGCACAGTTTGTCACACAGCTTCTCATTTTTTTTTATGGAAGGACTCTGTGTATGAAAACCAGCAGATATAATTACATTGATCTCTAAATGTTGCAGTTTAGTTGTCTTGTGACTTGGAGAATTGCATACTTCTCTCCTTAAATGCCAAGTCTGACTCCTGGAGACAAGTATGACAATAGCCATTCCGTTACATACATAAAAAGAATAGCGTACCCCAACAGTTCAGAAATCCTGATCTGTCTCTGGCAGAAGACTGTGTGCTTCTTGCACAGCCAGTCTCCAATATTCTGGTAAGATTTTATGTTTTTGTGATTCCCCCACATCTCAAGTACTTCCAACTCATGAACCAAATACAAAACTAATTCCAATCTCTGCATTTAAAACACAGTCGAACAGTCTGTTAGTATCTAATCATCACTGAGGATTTGCGCAAGAAGAAGCAGTTTCAGGAAACCAGCACAGGGGCATGTGAGAGACATACCTGGCTTTCATCCCGTGGACCGGCTATTCAGTTTGAGAAACCCAGTGAGCTCAGAGCTTAGGGCAATACTGGAAATATTTTACAATTATATTTGGTTTTTGGCTGGAATTTTGAATATTGATTTAGAGATTCCTGAGAGCAGACGGCATCTTTCAGAGTATCTTTAAGGTTGAGTTGCATTTTTTTGTAGCGGTAAAATGAAAAGAATTCGTATCTTGTTCTCTTTCCTAATATTCATTTCTCTTTTAGTTGAAGTATACCCAGTGGTACAAAGGAAAATGCCACTACTCAGTCGAAATTTGTAAAAGTTTTGATGGAAACTGCAAATGCTACAGGAGAATGACACAATGTTAGATTGCATTATGAATAATCCCTAAAGAATTCATCAGAGGTTGACTGCTTTAATTCTACATTGTAGGAAAAATGGTAGATTCACAGTGTGATGCAGGTACCTGAGAAAGAAAATTAGTCTTTGACTTGATAATTCAGTTTAATGAGGATTAACTCTGTAAAGAGTTATTCACTTGTAATTATTCTTCATAGGTGTGTACTGTTAAGCTTTAGCAGCTTTCACTGCTTGATCCTTTTCTTTTGACCAGCTACTACGAATTAGAAAGGATCTTTTTCATTACAATATGTATCTGCAGTTACTTTTTAATGCAAGTAGCTTCATTAATCTTCAAATTACTTGTCCCATCTGCTTTGCTTTAATTTGGCTGGCATTTACACAATGAGTTGCAGACCAAAAACCAGACCAAGCGCGTTCCAGGTTGCCTCGCTGCTGAGACAAGCAATGTGCTGTGAAACCAGGCTCAGCTCTGAGCTGCCAGCCTGCTCACCCCAGCAATGTGCAATTTACCCGCTCTGTAAGGCCTCATTTTAATTCAAGGAAGAGACAGAATTTATGCACATGCACAGCATTTCCCCTCCAAAAGGCAAGAAAAGTGTCTACATATTTTGTCTGGCAGAAAACATAAGAGAACAGCTTTGCATAATCACATGGAAGTTTGCAGGATGAAAGAAATCTCATTCTCAGAGCCCTTTTTTTCCTCTCATTCATTTCTTGAATCAGCCCTAATAGATTCATAGTCCAGGTAATGTTTCAATTATTTAAATATTCTTGTTATTTGCAGAAAAACAAGATGCTGTTGTCCTCCATCTCAAAGGAGGACAAAGACAAGAAAGAAGTAGAAAGCCAGGGAAGGAGAGGAAACAATCTGCATCATATGAAGTGAGACAACAGCGCAAAAGAAAGATGCATTGAAGATGTTGCTAGCCAAAATAAAATGAAAGAGAATGGGGTGGAGGGTGGGGAATGTCAGGTAGGACTCAAGACCTTTGTGGCAACAAGAATGTGGTTAGGGACGGTGGGTCAAGGACTGGAAGCCTAGTCTGTGATTGAGATAATGTACAGACCAAAGCATAGCAAAGAAATGTCACTTCAGGTCAGATCTGGGCACATGCTCC